GAGGAGGAGAGGGAGGGGGAGGGGTTCATTTGTCAGCGCACCAAGTCCCCTCTGCTAAAATCACTTGCAGGGAGAGCACTTGCTTGATGATTTCATCACTTTATAACTGTAAAGATGGTGTCAGAGCTGGTGTGGCCACTGCAAATGAGGCTAACACAATTTCCCCCTCAGCCTGTACTCTCGTGGAGGATGGGTTTGGATGCCCCTATGTTCGGTGATTAGAGGTCGCTGCAGGAACAGACAGTGGGGGTGGATGGGGAGAAAAAAAGGAGATGATGTAGTATGTAAAGAATAGCCTTCATTCCATAGAAAGAGCTGAAACAATGGATTATGAAAACAGTAATTTTCCATTTCACCCCTTCCACTGACAGAGCCATACCCCCTTCTCCCCAAGCTAGACTGTATGCATCGGTGGCTACAGCAAATCGTATTATCTTGTAGGAGTAGAATAAGGAGATTTTATTCTACTTATATAAATTATTTGATTCCCTAGAAACACAAATCTGATTAGGATTGTCTTTCAATTTCCTGACTGACAACCCACTAACCTAATTACCCACAATTCCCAGCAGAGACCCATCATTCGCAGCAAACACTGGGGGATAATCTGATGGCTGCCACATTACAGTCACAATCACCACTTCCTCATTTCACAATTTACATCCTTCACATGTAGCATGTAAAGAAAGTGTCAAGAAATATTTGACCAGTAAATCTATTCAGGGACGAGGCCTTGAGTATGAACTCATGACAAAATGGACTCCGATATCACCAAGTCAGTGCTTGCTAGGTTTAAGTGCTTAGGAGCGTTCCGATTCAGTTTCTGCTTGTGGTACTGTAGGAGTGGAAAATTCCTACCGCTGATAACTGTGATGTCACCAAATTCTACGGTTTCTTTGGGCTCTCCTGAGGAGCTCAGATACAGCCAGGTGGTATGGATGTACCCCATGAGCTGTCCCGTGGTGTTGGGCTGGGCTGGGATGGGCTGGGCTGGCTGGCTGGGCTGTGCTGGCTGGACTGGTCTGTTAATTCATGTGGCTGTGTATGTCAGCCAGCATAAAGCCATGGTGACGAGGAGTCCGAGGTACATGGGTGCCTCTTTTAATTAGAACAGTCCCGGCCATAATTAACAGATGCTGACAGGAATCAAAGCTTGGCACTAACCTGTCTCATTTTACAGTCAAACAGGGCCATACACGGAGGAAGGGAGGACGGGTGGAGACAGTGAGACAGAGAGCAAGAGAGTGTGTTGGAGAGAGAGAGAAGTAGAGTAGTTCATTCCATGTGTCTGACTCCTCTTGGAGAAACAGAGACCGTTGCCAAGCCCACTTCGGTGAGCCATGGACCAAGCTTTGGATTGTTTGTTTGTGGCCAGTGCGTCTGTATTGTATGAGTGTGTGTGTGAATGTGAACGTGTCTGCGTGCTTGTGAACGTGTGTGTAAAAAGGGGTGAGTCCGGCCTCATCACCAGACACCACTGTGTTTTACGGCCGGCACCATCACCCGGTGGGTGGGTAAAGGGAGGGCGGTAGTGGGCGGTGAGCTCGGGTGTCAGCTCTTCAAAGCAGGGTTCAGGGGTAGAGGGCTTCTGGCCAAGGTGGCTGGCATTTGCACACGGATTAGCGGCGGGCTAGGGGCGGGGACTGGGGTCAGCTGACCCAGGGCTCCTCTTTCTCTCCAAAAACAATAATAATCCCCCTCAGAGCACACGCCTACAAAAGGGCCTGTCTTCACTCACTTTGTGTGGCCGGCCGAGGCAGGAGCCCTTATTTTGAGCCCCTCACCTGTTCTGGGTGTCTCTCCCTGGGGAAAGTGTCAGGATGTCTGGGATGGTTGGCAGTGCCAAGGGGGGCTTAGGCGGACCCTATTTTAGCTGGGAAAATCAGAAGGCCACATGGCAAGGCATGGTGAACTGAACTCTGCCTTTCAAGGCAGCCGCCCCGCTAAACCACCGTCAGCACTATTTTAAAGGGCTCCTGTTGCCAGCTTTGCATGCTTGTAACGTGTTGCAGCATTTTTTACCGCGAGTGGTGATGAGCGAGGGCAGCGGAAAAATGGTCACACATTGTCCATCCCTATCTGCTGATTGGCCCCCCAGTCTGCTGACCCCGAGGCCTACGTACGCTCTCACCACATGCTCCATCCACCTGCCCGTAGCGCAGTGGAGCTACCATACCATACTGCAGTAACATCATGCTTGGTTCACTCCCCACTCAAGACGCAGGCTCCATTTGAAGGCCAAGCTACATTATGTGGAAAAACATTAGTCTGTTCATTCTTTTACTAGGTTCTAATGGAACCAAACAATTGATTCCCCATCTCCTGAAGCACACACTCATTGGCAGTCAGTGTGTTACTAATGTGTTGGCTTGAATCGACATGTGACTCTATACTGTATGTCTGGTATTGTTATGTTTATGTATGGCTTGTGTGTATGTACAAAATATTATTGTGAGGATAACAGGAGTGCTATAATGGGATGTGGTTATTCTACCATGCATCTGTCTTATAATAAGAGTGATATACAGGGAGGTACATTGTGTATCAGCACCATCCCCCTTCCTTTAAAACATATGTTCATCTCTGTTGTAATGCTCTCACCTGTCAGCCCAGGGAACATAACATGATCGTAGCCTTTTACAGAGAGGTAGCAGATTGCATACTGTAGTGTGTGTATTGTGTGTGTGTGTGTGCGACGTGCGTGTGTGTGTGATAGGGCAGAGGGCATCTGCCACTGAATTATGTCAATGTAATCTCTCAATAGTATCTGTTCCTCTTTCTCTTCCTCAGCTCTGATCCCCCTCCATTGATCAGAGGAAAAACCTGTAGCCTGTGACATTTGATTCTTCTATTGATCACTTCCTCTTTTATACAGTCGGGGGAAAGTAGAGCGATTCAACTCAAGTCTCTGGCAGATCCCCTTTAAGCGGACTGCTGATCTTTGAAGATCACTTCCCTTACACTTCCCTTAAGACGTCTACAGAGATAAACTGGAGCCTTTTCCAATGGACCAAATACATGCACTAATTCCTTACCATGTACTCGCTTAATCAGTAGCGGAGCTAAAACCTTGAAATGCCTTGCGTTTCAACGGTATCAACTAATAACTTTAACATGGGCACTGAGGGAAAATTCCATTGCACTTCCAAGATCTCCCTGAATGTCTAGAAATTCAGTCATATCATAGAGAGGTTAGGTGTGTTGTGGTGCATTCAAACGTTCTGTAGTTTCGTAGAGCGCCTGACGGTAGGAAACTGCATTGCACCTTTGCTAGAGCTGAGCTGTAAAGTTATAATTAGGTGTTTTTTCCATTGACTGGATGACCTTTCTGCAGTAATGAACTCCAGAGTGGTAGCTTCAGTCACATGAGCGCTGACCATCTCCAGCCTCTGAACATGGCGTTGAGCCGATGTCTTCATAGAGCTTAGACTAGTCTCCTCCTGTCCCCATAACCAGACTCATTGGTTTCACACACACACGCTAAGATGCATTTCACATCTTTCTGTTCATTTGGGAAATGTATTTACTTCTTTTGATTGTGTTTAAAAAAACGTTTCTGGAGGTGGGAGAGAGGAGGGTGATAGGGGGACCGGGTTCCCGCAGGACTTCATATAGCCAGAAATAATCTCTACCTCCTTCGTAATATGTGGCGAAACCCACTCTGTAAAAACGAGGGTCGTTTTCAATCTGTGGATATGCTGAATATACAGAAGTATGCATTAGAACGCTGGGATAAGTCTCTCTCTGCAAATTTGAGCTATACACTCTCTTTATACAATCTCCTACTTTGACCCGAAACTGGCCATGCATTTATGGCCATCACTACCTATTTTGTAGTCTCTTATTCTTCCAGATGAAATATTGGCATACATTTTTCATCAGATAGTAATGCGACTAGTCTGTCTTTCTGGCCAAGTCTCTTTATCTCACTGCATGCAGTAAGGAGATTCTGTTACGAAGCAGAGATCTATATAGGCTACTCTGTGGCTGGAGTTGGAGACTTGAAATCACTACATCACTACATCCTAATGGGACAGGATCTACAATATATGTTCCAGTCTCTGGTGAATTAAGGGAGACGGGTGGGGTAAAAGCTGGGTATACTGCATGTCATGTTGACGGGTAGGGATTAACAAAACAACATGAACAATTATTCATATTTAATCAACAACATATTTTAAGGTATGATAATTAGGCTCCTGCTATGGAGTATTTCGTGAGAGTATAAAATAACTAATCTTGTTGTGTTTTTCTGCCACCGTAATAGAGAACATCTCCTCCTGAGTATATCCTGTAGTACAGTGGGAGTGGAGGGACAATCATGCTTAGTCAAACATAAGCACCACTTCACCTATTTTCAGCAGCGCTCGCTCAAAAGCAAGACATAAAAAGTACAGTATGTTTCCTTAAAGAGCTCTTCCCAGCGGGCAGCTAAATAAATATGACACCTCCTCTCCATTCCCCAGCTACACTGCTCTCATTATTCATGTGTTGGGGCTGTTTGGAGAGACCAACAAGTGAGGAGGAGAGGGGAATAAAGCAGCAGTAATGCATGGGGTTGGGGCCAGGTAGGTAAGGGGCTAGGGGGCTATGGTCCGCCCCCCCCCCCCCCCCCCCCCCCCCCGGAAGGAGTAGCCCAGCCTGGGGTCTCAGGGGGCCTGGCAGGGGGGAAGAAACCGAGCCAGAGAACTCCATCGGCAGCATGTTTAATTGTCACTGAATTCCCAGTTGGCGTGACTTTAAAAAACCATCCACAGGAAGAGAGCTGAGATGTTCGGAAAACATTTAGCGGATCAATATGCCAGGGAGAGCTGAGACTGGCCGGAGTGTGTGCTCAGGGACCTAGCAGAAGCCTTTCCAGTCGGAATACTGTTACATTTCTATTACTCAGACAGTAGGATCGACCTATTCAGCATATTTCTGTCCCCAGCTCAACTGCACATGATTTACTGCTGTGTTGGTAGGGGGAGGACAGAACAGGCCAGGCCAGGAGGCTCAGATCAGTTGTCTGGCTGTGGCTGCAGGCACAGCAGGCTGCAGCCAACATCCCTCACACTGGTCTGGACTGGCATGGGCCCACTCACTGCTGTTAGATCAGCCGGGAGCTTTGAGGAGACCACTTCCTCTCAGAAGTCCTTGTTTGATGTTTCCAGTCTTTACATCCTTCTTCTATGAATGGTGTCGTTCCATGGAGAATGTTGAGATCATTTAAATAATGCTGACATAATATAAAGAGAGTGATACCAAGACAAATGGACAGACAGACACTTTCACAAGAAAAGGAGATCTCCTTACCTTCCTTGAGCATCCCCACTTTGAGACACTTCATAAAGCGGCAGGCTTGACATGACTTGCGTCTCCGTTTTGTGATCTCGCACTCGTTTGTGGCGGGACAGCTGTATTCTATGTTGCCTGAAGAGAACAAGAGATGTGGTTAGCCTTAACCTGATCACTCTTCATAAGGCAGTGTATCTTCCTATTGAGTCATAGGCAAAGGAAAAGCAAAAGGTTAAAGGTTTTGACCTTTTTTCTCTCCTTTTTACAAAAAAAGGGGGCACACATGAAGAATAAAAGTAAGCATAAAAGTATGGATACAATACACATTTTAGGGCATTGTCATTGTGTCACTGTGTAGATTTAAAACCAATAGTTACTATATATCACACAGTATTCTAGAGTCTATAATCAGTTTGTGCAGACCAGACATTGGGTATCAGCATTTGTTCATCATCTCCTGTGCAACAATCCATTACAGTAGTGTGTCTGAGGTGAGGTGAGCCGGAGGGAGGGAGGGAGAGAAGGAGACCTCCAGTCCTCCTCATGGACCCCTTCACAGACACCACCCTGGCCCCCACGCTAAATTGGCCTCATTAATTCTGAGCGTGTCCCCTCCAGGCCCCTGGAGCAGCCAGCCATCCAGCCTGCATACCCCTTCCCTTCCCTGTGTCCCTCTGCCGCCCGCTGCCTCAATAACAGGAGAGAGAGCCAGACACACGCCCCCCCCCGGCCACTTTACATAATACTCTGGCAGCCACAAACCTGTTGTTACCACTGTTGCCATTGTTGACTACATAGTGTACAGACAAGAGGCCTTATGCATTATTCAAGTCCAGCAATACAGCGTCTGATTCCGGTACAACACAATGAAAAAGGGTTTCATTGCTACATAATAAAATAGATGTTTCTGCCTGTACTGTAGCATTAGCAATAGAAAGGAAGGGCAGGATATACGATGCCATTCTCCTTGTGTCCCTACATTTTACTGAAGTCAAGTTTTCAATAAAGGGTTTCAAAATAATAGCTAGCTGCTCAAGGTCCTGAATTAGACTCATTCATTGTCCATCATTAATGGAAAAACAGAGAAACACATTCTGAGGCACAATGGAGACACAATACTATTTTATAATTCTTAAACTTGGATTATGTTCGTTAATATCTACCACAAAGCCATGTTATCTATTCAACTGTTATCTATTCAACGCTGTGTACACTTCTACATTTAGAAAAATGAACCTAAATGACTTCAATATAGACTAACATCCAGTATTATCCTGTCTAACTGCATACAGACACAGTGGTCCAGCAGCTCTCCTACCTATAGATGAACAGCCATACCCAGACACATTGGGATTCCATCCCAACACAGCCAGCTTCTCTCTCTACTCTGACTCTCATTCAGTGTGAGAGCTGTATAATATTCCAGTAGCGTTCCCCCTCCAACCCCCTTTAACAACTTATGCAATTATGTTAACATTATTGGACATATCAAGTGGAGGGTCCCGAGATGTATTAAATAATTAGAAATGTCTCCTTTATATCTGTCTTAGAAATCATCATGCCAATTCCTCTCATCTCTCTGGAATTGGGGTAAATAAAGGTGTGAGGGAAAGGGAGTGATGAGGTATGATAGTCTCTGTTCCTGTTGTCTCTGTTGTCATAGCACAACCAGACCATAATAATAAGCCAATATATTTCCCATCTGTTCACAGGAGGCAATCAGAGTAGCCGTCTCTGGTATCTATAGGCTGTTACTCTGCTATGGTTGGTTCTGTATGATACTGTATCAACTGCAATACTTTGGCACCTTTCTACAAACCCCTTATGTCTCAAGAACCTTCCTTTAAAATTCATTTTATCCAATGCATTTTTTGCTTGTCATTCTCCTAGAATCTGGGCTGTAGATTTATCATATTGATTAAACCTCACGATATTGAACATGATATAATTACTTAAAAACCTAGTATGATTGCGTTGTTGGCAGATGTATATGGTATGCTGCCTGCCTGCCAGACAGACACTGCAGAGCTGACCCTGGTCCCTGGCTAACCCACAGGATGCTCATGTTGACGGGGGAGACTTCTCCCTCCACTACACCCCCCTCCACTTCCCTTCCCTCCACACCGGGGGCGGGGTGAGACACATGCACAAGGCACACCTGAAAGCTAACAAACCGAGACCATGCTCTAACAACACACACTCATACTCTCTCATTATACACTCACATTACAGCAGCACAGGCCAACTCATGTGCTGCCTCAAAATATATATATATATATATATAACAAATACTGGACTGGTTAACCTGTAGTGACGTTTATACAGTGAGGGAAAAAAGTATTTGATCCCCTGCTGATTTTGTACGTTTGCCCACTGACAAAGAAATGATCAGTCTATCATTTGAATGGTAGGTTTATTTGAACAGTGAGAGACAGAATAACAACAAAATAATCCAGAAAAACGCATGTCAAAACTGTTATACAGTTATTTGCATTTTAATGAGGGAAATAAGTATTTGACCCCCTCTCAATCAGAAAGATTTCTGGCTCCCAGGTGTCTTTTATACAGGTAACGAGCTGAGATTAGGAGCACACTCTTAAAGGGAGTGCTCCTAATCTCAGTTTGTTACCTGTATAAAAGACACCTGTCCACAGAAGCAATCAATCAATCAGATTCCAAACTCTCCACCATGGCCAAGACCAAAGAGCTCTCCAAGGATGTCAGGGACAAGATTGTAGACCTACACAAGGCTGGAATGGGCTACAAGACCATCGCCAAGCAGCTTGGTGAGAAGGGGACAAGAGTTGGTGCGATTATTCGCAAATGGAAGAAACACAAAAAAACTGTCAATCTCCCTCGGCCTGGGGCTCCATGCAAGATCTCACCTCGTGGAGTTGCAATGATCATGAGAACGGTGAGGAATCAGCCCAGAACTACACGGGAGGATCTTGTCAATGATCTCAAGGCAGCTGGGACCATAGTCACCAAGAAAACAATTGGTAACACACTATGCCGTGAAGGACTGAAATCCTGCAGCGCCCGCAAGGTCCCCCTGCTCAAGAAAGCACATATACAGGCCCATCTGAAGTTTGCCAATGAACATCTGAATGATTCAGAGGAGAACTGGGTGAAAGTGTTGTGGTCAGATGAGACCAAAATGGAGCTCTTTGGCATCAACTCAACTCGCCATGTTTGGAGGAGGAGGAATGCTGCCTATGACCCCAAGAACACCATCCCCACCGTCAAACATGGAGGTGGAACCATTATGCTTTGTGGGTGTTTTTCTGCTAAGGGGACAGGACAACTTCACCGCATCAAAGGGACGATGGACGGAGCCATGTACCGTCAAATCTTGGGTGAGAACCTCCTTCCCTCAGCCAGGGCATTGAAAATGGGTCGTGGATGGGTATTCCAGCATGACAATGATCCAAAACACACGGCCAAGGCAACAAAGGAGTGGCTCAAGAAGAAGCACATTAAGGTCCTGGAGTAGCCTAGCCAGTCTCCAGACCTTAATCCCATAGAAAATCTGTGGAGGGAGCTGAAGGTTCGAGTTCCAAACGTCAGCCTCGAAACCTTAATGACTTGGAGAAGATCTGCAAAGAGGAGTGGGACAAAATCCCTCCTGAGATGTGTGCAAACCTGGTGGCCAACTACAAGAAACATCTGACCTCTGTGATTGCCAACAAGGGTTTTGCCACCAAGTACTAAGTTATGTTTTGCAGAGGGGTCAAATACTTATTTACCTCATTAAAATGCAAATCAATTTATAACATTTTTGACATGCGTTTTTCTGGATTTTTGTTGTTGTTATTCTGTCTCTCACTGTTCAAATAAACCTACCATTAAAATTATAGACTGATCATGTCTTTGTCAGTGGGCAAACGTACAAAATCAGCAGGGGATCAAATACTTTTTTCCCTCACTGTAGCTCAAGGGTTGATCCTCAGTGACAAATGTCTATTCATGTCTATTCATACAATCAGTCAGTCAAGCATTTGAGGGTTTTATATATACCCCGAACCAGAACGCTGGGTTCATATTTGGTTTCAAAGGTTACAGTATTAAACAAATAACATCAAAAATATTTTCTTCTCTCAATATTTATCTGTCTCAATTTATTTTATGGCTTTTCAGGACCTGTGCCAGGGCAGTGAGGGGAAAGTCAGGTCCTGTAAGTAAATTACAGTAAAATGGCAGGTATTTCTCATCAAAATCGAAACTGACTTTTACAGGCTTACTGTCAAGGTCTATTACTTCATATAAAAAAGAGGGCCACTGAGTTCAGTTGGTTTTCAAGCAATTTTACACTTGGGTTCAAAATGAGAGAAAAAGAAGGTTCAATAACAGATTGATGTTTTTGATTGGCAGGGCACGCGAGGTGCGGGACGGGTCTGTGATTAGGGAGCTATGAGAACAGGAGTATTTCCGGGATGGATGCTGATCTAGGTTGACGTTCATTTGGGCCTGGGCTTGACTAATGGATCTATCTCCATGTAAGAGTTCAGGGGGCTTTTCATTGGATGAATATGTGACAGAAGATGGATTTGCCATTCCCTCCTGTCTAAAAGGTAGGGGCATCAGGTCTCTTTTACAGAAGTAGAACGTAAGGAAGTAGAGGAGAGAAGAGAAATGAAGCGTAGGCAACGCTAAATGAAGCTAGGAACCCCAGGTTAAAAAACAGACATTTCTGGAAAATATTCCGTGCAGACAAAGTCAACTGTGTGGTCACTATTCTCAAATTGTTCTCAGATTAAATGCATTTCATTGTGTGCTAAAGATCTCAAGGGAAAAAAGTCCATTAGCTTTAGTGTTATTGCTTAAAAACAATGTGATGAATGAGTGTAAAATCCACGTCTTCTGTGTTGTTCTCATTAAGGGATGTCGTCTCACACCCTCCACCCTGGATAGACAGCCTCATTATTTCTTTAAAGAATCAGGTCTCATCTACTGCAACCTCTTCTTCATCCAAGGGCTTTATGTCCCACTGTTTACTGCTCCCTCTTCCTCCTCCAGTCATCCTGTGTGGTTTTCATTATTTCAGAGGCTTTCACCCTCTCCTCCTCCCCCTCCCAAAAAGTCGCATGGTCCTCCTCCCTGTCCTGTTCTGCCTGGACTGGGACCCCTGTCTGATTATTATGCCATTAAGCCTCTCCTCCTCTGAAAGAGCGCTCGGGTCCCTCTCCAATCTAAAGAAGTCCTAGGTTTTTTTTCTCCCTCCTTTCCGTGAAATTACCCAGCGTGCGACGCGTGCCTGAGTTTCTAATTGGCCCTGCTCTCCCTGGAGACAGCCCCCTCCCTTCCTCCTAATGAAAAGCCTCGGCCTTAATTACACTTTCCAAACGCTGATTGTTATTGACAAAACTCCTGTGGCTCGGACAAACGACGGCAGATTAGCTCCATTACAGGCAGCCCTCCAAGAGGAGAAAGCGAGGGATTTCAAATCGACAATGCAAAGTGAGGGAGGAAAAAAAAGAGACCTTTCAATTTTTCTTTTCATGTACCTCTCTCTTAATCGTTTGGGCCATTGCTCCACTTAAGACGTCTCTTTCTTCCCAGATTGATATTTTCTGTTCTATTGTGTGTCGCCATCAATGTTTTGTAGCGAGGGGACAAAAGCACATTTATGTTACTTGAGAGAAAATGTTCATCTTATGTCAATAGACAGGATAGCTGATGGCAGCATGGGTAAACAGCAGGATTTGGCCTAATACTTCTGTTTGCCTGCAAAGGTACATAGACTGTTTAAAGCTGATAGGATTTGGGATGTCCAAAATCAACACCTAGGCCTACTAGACAGCCTGCACTCCATAACCTGGGAGCAATAATGGCATTTTAAGGGGGGTCATTGTTCAAGAAGCTAAGGACCTAAATTGAGATGTACAGACCATTATTTCTACAGAACATATTTGAGGCATGTACAATGACAAAAGTTCAAAAAATAGAATAAATACATTTGCCTCCTTTGCAAGATAAATACAGTGCACTCAGTGACAATTGTGTTGTTGTTTTGGCTCTGTACTCCAGCACTTTGGATTTGAAATAATACAATGACTATGAGGTTAAAGTGCACACTGTCAGCTTTCATTTGAGGGCATTTTCATTCATATCGGGTGAGCTGTTTAGAAATTACAGCACTTTTTGTACATAGTCCCCCCATTTTAGGGGACCAAAGGTATCGGGACAAATTCACTTATATATGTATTAAAGTAGTACAAAGTTAAGTATTTGGTTCCATATTCATAGCACGCAATGACTTCATCAAGCTTGAGATTCTACACATTTCTTGGATGCATTTGCTGTGTTGGTTGTGTTTCAGATTATTTGGTGGCCAATAGAAATGAATGGTAAATAATGTATTGGGTCATTTTGGAGTCACCTTTATTGTAAAAAAGAATATAATATGTTTCTAAACACTTCTACATTAATGTGGATGCTACCAAGATTAAGGATAATCCTGAATTAATCGTGAATAATGATGAGTGAGAAAGTTAGAGGGATAAATATCATATCCCCCAAAATGACCCCTTATTTATTCTTATTTTTTGCACTCACTCTCTTGCACAGGCACTGGACTCTAACCACACACTCACAGATACTACACTGACACTCCAACACACACACATACAAAACACACACATACACACAGTACCATTCACATTATTCAGACACAGTGCTGCTACTCTCTATTTATTATCTATGCATAGTCACTTTACCCCTACCTACATGTACATATTACCTCAATTACCTCAACTACCCCGTACCCCTGCACATTGACACAGTACCGGTACCCCTTGTATATAGCCTTGTTATTGTTTTAGTTACTATTTTCCCTTTAGTTTATTTAGCACATTTTTCATACTCACTTTTTTGGCATTGTTGGTTAAGGGCTCGTAAGTAAGCATTTCACGGTAAGGTCTACACCTGTTGTATTAGGCGCATGTGACACAACATTTGATTTGATTGGAAAATGCTAACCTCCCATTATTGTATTGGTGAGAGGTTAGCATGATATTTGTGTGTCTGTAACTTTCTCACTCGTCATTATTCACGATTCATTCAGGACTAGAAGAAGTGGCGCCGGAGAAGATGGCTGCCGTTTTACAGCCCTCTAACCAATTGTACTATTATGTGTGTTTTTTTGCGTTATTTGTAATTTATTCTGCACATAATGTTTCCCCGGAGCGCCAAGTCTAGGTCCAAAAGGCTTCTTAACAGCTTCTACCCCCAAGCCATAAGACTCCTGAACAGCTAATCATGGCTACCCAGACTATTTGCACTGCCCCCCCACCCCCCTCTTTTATGCTGCTGCTACTCTGTTTATTATTTATGCATAGTCACTTTAACTCTACCCACATGTACATATTACCTAAATTAAGTCGACTAGCCGGTGCCCCAGCACATTGACTCTGCACCGGTACCCCCCTGTATATACCCTCCCTACTGTTATTTTATTTTACTGCTTCTCTTTAGTTATTTGCTTTTATTTTTTTTACTTAACACTTGTAAGTAAGCCTTTCACTGTAATGTCTACACCTGTTGTATTCGGCGCATGTGGCAAATACAATTTGATTTGATTTGATTTGACTATCCATAATCATTGTAGCATCCACATTAATGTAGAAGTGTTTAGAAACATATTTACAATAAAAGTGACTCCAAAATGATACAATACATTATTTACTATTCATTTCTAAATGGGCACAAAATAATACAGCCTCATTGTTTTTATTGTGTTACTATTTCCTTTTTATTTAGCAAATATTTGTCTTCCTTTTTTAGCTCTGCATTGTTCACTCTAGTCTTCACCTGTTGTATTCGGCACTTGTGACCAATGCAATTGTATTTCATTTTAATCTGAAAAACAACCAAAACAAACCATATAGCTTCATGTAATCATTGTGTGCTAGGAATATGGGACCAACTACTACACTTTTGAGTACTTTAACACACATATACAGTAAGTGAATTTGTCCCAATACTTTTGGTCCCCTAAAATGGGGGGACTATGTACAAAAAGTGCTGTAATTTCTAAACGGTTCACCCAATATGGATGAAAATACCCTCAAATTAAAGCTGACAGTCTTTAACCTCATAGTCATTATATCACTTCAAATCCAAAGTGCTGGAGTACAGAGCTAAAAATGTCACTGTCCCAATCCTTTTGGAGCTCACTGTATGTTTCCCTTCCTGCATGACATTACTATAGCTAAATATTTCAATATTTCATTTGCCTCCTGTAGTTTTCATTTTAATTTCTCCAATTCTTAAGCAGACTGTCTGAGCTTAGGCAGGGGCAGCTGTGCATGTTGAGCAGTGATTTTCCCTGGCTCAATAATATCTCCCTCCATACCGTAGGTCCCACTGATTAATGTAGGACAGAGCACACAGAGAGACACACAGTGGGGGGCCTGTCATTGTCTCTCTAATGGGAACCTGTGATACAGCATGCCATGCAGATCTGCACTCGCACCCTATTCCACACACACACACACACACACACACACACACACACACACACACACACACACACACACACACACACACACACACACACACACACACACACACACACACACACACACACACACACAAACACAAACACACAAACACACACAGGACAGGAATAATCAAGCACCTGCTTTGGACCCCACCCCCACAGTCTTCTAGTCAAACAGCACAACCACTCCCACCAAACCTGCCCCCTGATGATGATGTCACGACCACTGCCCCTACCTACCCAGCAGATGATGTCATCGCGAGCGACGGGCTAGTGGCCTGTCCTGTGTGTGGCTGTCCATTGTGTATGTAGCCCCTGTGGACATCTGTTGTCTCATACTGTGCTGCACTGCATGTGATTCCCCTCACTATTAATGAAGGTCCCCTGGGTGTCATAGCAATGTAGGCCATTGATAGCAGCACAAATGGAGGCACCAGCCTTTCAAACATATACCTTTTCCCAGGGAGATAAAGGGAAATTATGTAAATGAACACAGCTACATTATGAGATAGTAGTTTAGGGCAGTAGGTGATTGTGTTCGGAGCACCACAGGGAGATACAGTACATCTTCTAGTGTGTGTTTTATGCTGGAGGAGGAGAGGTAAAACCCTGTATGGAGTGTATTGTTCTGTCTGCAAGTGGGGCAGATCCCTTGTACTGAGTGTGTTTGTGCGTCTGTGGGGGGCGTGAGGGAAATACCTTGTATTGTCCTTTTAAAGAAGGCTTTGCAGGCCTCACAGGAGGCCACGCCGTAGTGATACCCAGAGGCTATATCTCCACAGACCAGGCACAGCCTCTTGGGGATGGAGTTCAACATGTATTCGCACTTAATGGGCGAGTCCTCCATGATGGTGCTAGAGCAGTCGTCATATCGCTTGCGGCAGGCACCGGGGCCCAGCCCGCCGGGCGTGAACATCGGCGGAGAGTCCAGGCCGTTGGAGTGGCTGTTCATGGCGCTGACATAGCCGCCGCTGGCGTCCGAGTTGCCGCTGGGGCTGTGGTGGCTGACCGTGTCGATGACTGAGGAGGGGCTGGACGGCTCCGTCTTGATGTAGGACCCACAGCTGGAGGGCAGGTGCCGATCATCAGCAGCCATTCTATTCAGCAGCCTGGAGAAGGGGAGAGAAGGAAAGGAGAGGAGAGGGTCATTTGCACGGTTTGTCAGACTACAGACATGAACAGTTTCAGATCGACTGGCGCTACCCACAAAACAAAATCTATACATATTGTCTAATGATACAATGACAGCTACAGAGAGAAAACACATCTTTGCACAATTTGACTGTGGGAAACCCCCCCCACCCCCCGTGTTTTCCTAACCATCACCATGAACCAGCCAACCAGGTGGGTGGATCCTAAGCGCCTCATTAACCCCACACTCCACCAGCCGTGAGAGACAGAACACACAGGTGCAATAAACACGCTCAGCACTGACCACACTCATTCTGCTTTAACACAGGAACACAGCCACAGCTAACACAGGATGGCTCCATGACTGGGACCCACATTTAAGACTGGGGTAAAGAAAGCCAGAGGACAGAGAACATACCTGGAGTAGGCTCCTTGAGTCAGCAGTCAAGCAAAAAGAAACATGATGGCAAAAGGATATTGACTTTGTTCACTGTCTGGTTAATAACATAATTTTGGAGTACATCTCATCTGATGTTGTGCCTGCCTTGAGTAAAATAAAGTGCAGCCTCTGGCTGTGTTAATACAATGCAGCTTCAAAACCCCAAAACAGCTCGTTGTCCATACGATTTTATTTATGTCTCCTTCCACCACATTTAAAGTGGACTGGGAGAACAGTTGATAAAAAACAACATTGCTCTCTTCTAGCCTGGTCTTTTCCTGGGCAAACAGAGTGAATTGAGGAGATAGAGTGCTATGAGAGAGGGATAACCTCTACGTTTTCTAAAGGTTGTGTGGACACAGTGACGTCAGTGTCGTGGCAGGGTCACACACACACCTCTGCACTAGGCACCACTCACAAGGTGAAAGGTCGTCTGCACTCGCCCACCTTCATGAAATTGAGCCTTGCGTGACTTATGCAAATGCTAACAGCAGGGTTCCTGGTTGAGTGGCAGCTAGACAGTCCAGGTTCTGCCTTAACACATTAGTTCCATTAATATATTGCCAACTAACGGTAATGTTTACATAGTTTACATGTCAGTTTCCCATCAGCAGCGCAGAGAGAGGGTAGACACTCTCTACCAGTACACCTAAAGTCTCTATCAGGATTTATCCATGGCCGGATGTCTCAGAGTGCTACAGAGCCCAGAGAGGGAGAGACAGAGGCCTTTTCCATATCCCCATCGGCCAGCCGGAGAAGGGCCGGGCCAGCGGGGATAGCTGTCTCTCTCTCTGGCTGATTTAATTGTAAGGGTGGGTGACGGTAGGGTTGAAGCCCAGGGGTCAGCAGGTCAACCTTATTTTCTCACCCTGGCTTCCTGGGCCCGTGGAGATGGGGGTCAGTGTGTCAAATTAAATCTCATTCCCGGGTTTTCCCATGTATATTCATCGGAGCTCCAGGTGCCCACCACCTCTGAAAATTCACAAAAAGGTTAAATGCTAAAATAAATATTAAAAAATGCCCCCTGTTAAAACCGCTGACCTTGTGGAATAAGCCCTTTGGCTGAACACTCCTGGAACTTTTTTCAATATAGAACGTACACAATATAAAACCCATAACCACCCTTTTTACTAGGGATCATGGCACTCAATTTATAGTATTTCTCACAGTAACTTTAAAAACAAGTTGGACAATACCTATAAAAAAAACATTGAAAAGGTCAAAGTAAAGCCAAGGAAGTTTCAAGTTTTTTTTCTCTCTTCGTGTTTTAAGGAATATTTAGTATTTCAAACAGATTACTCTATGTACTCTTAAAAAGTGAGAGCAAAATAAGAAAATAACAAGATAATGAAATACAAAGCTCCATCTCCTTGATGCTTTTTAACATACATGTAATGTCTTCGTTTAAATAACTCATGTGGGTTCCATCCACATAAATGAATGAAAGGAGTCTATTCATCTGCTTTATGTTTCAGACAGCTCTGTGCACCTGTGTGATAGGACACCTGCACTCGGCTTATTAAAGGCTCTATATTAAAACGGCAGCACGCCGTTAGATGGCTCTATTTAGCTTTTATTTCACAAATTCAGAGTAAGCTTAACCCCAGTTCAAAGGTCAACTCCAGGGTGACACTTAGCATAATTGCATAAGTGTCTAAACTGTTTCCCCTCCAGCTCTATGTGGTCATTTATAATAAATGTTCTGGCTACAATTCCCTTAACTCATTCCGCAATGACACATTATGCTAGTGCTCTGCGTATGTTTTTAACAAGGCTGGTTATATTGATTAATGACATTGAAAGAATACTAACCATTTGAACCTAGTGTTCATTCTTAAAATATTTCCTTACATTTCTATAAATATTATTCTTCTCAAATGGGACAGGTTCTTTTAAAATCTATAAATACTATTAATAATATGGCAAATAAAATATGAACATAAATAATTTGACAGCAGGAATTGTGTTAATATAAATACAACATATGGACCAGGTGCTAATTAGGATGTATCCCAGACGGGGCATAAAATGAAGAGGTCCACTGAACTGATCAAGACCCAGGTATGTTGTGAAAATCCATAGTTCTGTCTTCCTCTCAAGTACAATAAGTGTCCTTCTCATTCTGCTGCACACTGGAGGCCTGCATGTCAAATATCTCTCCCTCCCTCCCTCCTTTCTTTCTCTTTGTACCAATCAAAATTCATGCTGAGTGGTGGGTTATGGGCCCACAAAAGCACACTGCGCAGTTTGGTTTTAATCAGATTCCACCTGGTCCTCCTAACAGCATTTCAGATCCCTAATATTGTTCCACTGCTGCTGCCGTGACCAGGATTAGCTGCCCTAATGATCTCCGAGCCCAGCTCCTCTATCGCTCTCTGCTCCTCTTCTTCAGGAGGAGAAGGAACTAAGGAGCACTCGTCCTCATGTCTCAGCCCTTCCCTTCTCTGCCTGTGCCTCCAGCTGCATTCTGAACACGGCCTGAACGTTCTGAACACTGTCACAGGAACACGACAGAGCCTGGAGAAACTAATTGGGCCAATTTGTAGGTATTCCTGCTGTGAGCTCTATGCTGACTTCTGTAGCGTGCTAATGTCTGAACTGTACTGAAGTGTTCAACACATACACGGACAGACACTCAGACATTCTGTCTCTCTTACTCACTTTAGCATTCCCTTTTTATATGAGCACATTACACAACTCGAGTGCTTGTATTAAAAGCTCAACTCAAAATCGGACAAAATGTAAAATGTGTACTCAAACGATTCGTCCTGCGACAGACTTTTACAATGGCATGAGGAGATCATTTTAGAATGTACTTTTCACTCTCTGAGCTGTGGGCTGTGGCATGCCAAAAACCTGGTTTGATAGCGTTGGCTAACCTCATCCCAGCCCCCAACCCCTCACCCTAAGCAGATGGGGGATATGGGGGGGGGGGGGGGGGGGGGGGTGATATCAGATGCCCCAGTAGGGGCAGATCTGCCTGGAGGCCCCTGGGCGATGTCCCTGATAAGCTACTGGCCCCAGAGTCAGTGCAGGAGGAGGAACTCAATTAGCTCCTGACAGACCGTCTCAGCCTCGCTCAGCCTCCCGCCAACACCAGAGCCCACTGGCAGCTGCCATGGTGACCTCTCCTCCAGTGGCCACCGCCACCTCTTACTGCTCAGCTGACCGCACGGCTGCATGGAGGACGACTCATTTAGGGAGATGGGAGGGAGGCCTGACTGACTGAAACCAGAACCACAGGCTGACTGGCTACAATCATTGGAATACAGACGTGTCTCTAAACATCATCTATAGGATGGGACGTTTCTGAAGGGTTTCTGTATTCACATGGGGCCATGTAAATGAAATGGGATAGGGGGGTCAGAGCTTGGGGGGAGGGGGGTGTATGGGGAACCACGTGAAATATGGAGAATGCCTTTCTATATAACTGGGTCCAGGTTAATGACCCTCGGAGGAATGGGGACAAAAGACGCCTGGGACAATTTTGAGTGTGTGTGTGTGTGTGTGTGTGTGTGTGTGTGTGTGAAAGTGGGGAGGGGGAGATGCATCTGAGTAACTGTAAAAGGAGGCAGTGGTTAGTATACTGGCTAGAGGCACTCCTTGCACCCCATAGGGACACATTTAATCTGGGAGAAACTCCACATTTGGGATTTTCTCATTCATTAGTCATGCTCTAAACAGATAGAGGAAGGGCAGGGTGGGTGTAGAGGAGGTGGGAGGGGGGAGGCCTCTTTGTTAACGGACACGTCGCCTGACAGAGATGTATGATGTGCTGTTCTATAGAAGAACACTATAGAGGAATAAGAGAGGAGACAGACAAACAGAAAGCGAAAAAGAGGGTGAGGCACAGCTACAGAGAGAGAGCGAGAGAGAGAGAGAGAGAGAGAGAGAGAGAGAGAGAGAGAGAGAGAGAGAGAGAGAGAGAGAGAGAGAGAGAGAGAGGGGAAGGGATGTTTATGCGTGCTTATGGAGAGCGGCACGGGCCCCAGATCAATAGTCCGTAGACCAGGGGATGGGGCTACATGGAGCTGGGTGGTGCAGGGTTACCACTGGGGGGACCATACAGCTCCGTTGCCCGGCCAATTAACTTCTTCAGCCTCCAGCAGAGGATTAAATTTAGCTGCTCCACAGCGATGTCACTGTAGTCTTTATAAAGCCATGAGCTCACTCACTACGACAACATGAGCCCCACGCTCCAACAGGCCAGCCACGAGATAGTGCTGGCTGACCAAGAAGACGCAGATCACATCTATTGATCTCTCCCCCACTTTCCTTCCTGTTGGAAAGATGCTGGCAGGAAAAACAGGACGTCTTATGATACAGGCACTGCTGTTTGTCTGAAGTAAACTGTCTGAGTGATACTGGAGAGATCCTATTCTGAAAAGGGCTAAGGATCCTCAGAAAACAAATGGCGGTAGGAAAGATCGGATGAAGATGCCAAAACGCTGTTATGGAGTGGGTTACCAGTTGAAACATTCTTCTACGGCAGTAGAAGAGTTAACACACTAATCTGCATACCCAGCAGAGAACCTCCCTGTAGAGTAGAACAGCTCTGGCTTGGCACACATTAGGATCCTATAGCGCATCATTTCATCTCACTGTAGGAACAAAGTCTAATGGTGCTCGTTCAGAAAAAGAATTAGCGACCATCAAATGTGTCATCAAGAGCATTAATCGTTGGCATTGAATGCCTAATGCCTAATCATAAAGAGTTGTGTAAGACATATCCCACACACATTACCATGTCTAACTGAGCCTTAACAGGCTTTCCATTTCCTGGCTTAAACCTGGCTCCAGCTGTCCCACCACACAACACTGTTCTGGAACCAGCACAGACGCACAACCCTGTCTAACAGGCCAAAGGACAACTATAACCAGCAAGGGAACAATATGTGTAATATCAAACTGGTCCACACATACATTTCTAGAAATATGGCTAATGCACAGAGCACGTGTATAGGGTGTAAAACATGTAAATGTAAATAGAGTAAAAGGCATTGCATTGACTCTGCAGTATGTGTGTGTATATAATACAAACAGAGGGAAATATTATTTTAAAGGGTTAAGGCTATTTAAGGCAGACCAATGTAAATCACAGGTTTAGACACAGTGAGAGTACAGGGGGACAGGGGCAAGGAGCCATGCATGAAATTACTTCATTAATCTTCCTCTGATAGACTGTCTTGTTTAGGGGGAACTCTACCTGCTTCAAACAAAGAGCCCGTCCTGCCACTACCATAAATTATCCTCTTCGTCAGAGGAAGGGCCAAACACACACACAGACAAATATACGAGGTTAAAATAACCGGGGCAAAATGTGCGGTTTTATCAGTTGTCCAGAACAATTAATTGTGTAAATATTTATACAGGCTCACACATAAACAGCACATATGCACATGGCTGAGATCCAAATATGTTGTTAAATATGTAACACTGAAATAATGTGAAAT